TTTCTCCTGGGGGCTGCACGGTAGTGCAGTTGGTAGCACTGTTGCCTTGCAGCACGAAGTTCCTGGGTTCGATTCCCAGCCGGGGGTCTTTCTGCATGGAGTTTGCATGTTCTCCCCGTGCATGCGTGGGTTCTCACCGGGTACTCTGGCTTCCTCCCACAGTCCAAAGACATGCCTGTTAGGTTAATTGGTCACTCTAAATTGCCCTTAGGTGTATGAATGAGTGTGTGCGTGGTTATTTGTGTGTTGCCCTGCAATGGACTGGCAACCTGTCCAGGGTGTACCCTGCCTCTCGCCCATAGACTGCTGGAGATAAGCACCAGCTCCCCCGTGACCCACTATGGAATAAGCAGTAGAAAATGACTGACTGATTTTCTCCTGGCAGAGGTGAGACAGACAAAGAAGGAACATACAAAAAAGAAATTGAAAAGTAATACATTGTGAATTTTAGCTTGATAGCATTTTTAAAAACAACAAGGTGGACCAACTTATTCATAGCTGTAAGTATAAATCAGTAAAAACAACAAAAAAAAAACATCTAAAAACAAAAAGGTGCAGAATTACTAAAAACAAACCAAATCAAAGAGAGAAAACATAAAAGACCTGACAGTTCTCAAACTGCACTCAAATTAAATCCTCATTAAAAAATAGTTTTGAGGTTGGAATAAAAAACCTTATGGACTCAGGACCAGAGATATCAAGAGGCAGTTTGTTCTAGAGTCTAGAGCAGTGGTTTCAAACTCTAGTCCTTGAGTTAGTGTCCAGTCAGGGTCCTGCAACATTTGGATGTGGCCTTCGCCCTACACAACGAAATCAAAGGGCTAACTAGCATGCAGTCAAGTTCTACGGAGCTCTTAAAATGATCTAATAATAGACTCAGGTGTGTTGAGGCAGAGACGTATCAAAAAGTTGCTGGACTCCAGCCTATGTTGACTGGAGTTTGAGAGCACTGGTCTGGAGCGGGGGTGGGCAACTCCAGACCTCAAGGGCTTTGTCCTGCAACTTTTTGATGTGTCCTTGGTCCAACACATCTGTATCAAATGGCTGAATTACCTCCTCAGAATGCAGTCTAGTTCTGCACAGTCTTGGTAATGAACCATACATTTGATTCAGGTGTGTTGAACCAGGGCAACATCTTCTAAAACTTCAAGCCTCAAAGGGTTGGTGTCCTGCAAGTTTAAGATGTGTCTCTGCTTCAACACAAAAAGTCACAAACATCATACCTTATCTAGAGTCAGTGCAAACAACTTTATGCTTATTTTGTATGTTTATCCTGTACTGGGTTCAGTCATTCATTACTGGTTTTTACTATTGTCCTTTCTGTGGTTCTGTAGTGATTTGACTCACATACTCTGGATATTTATCTCTGTTCTAGGTTCATGTTAGTGACTTTAAGTTTCAGTCAGTTAACATACACTGCATTTACTCTGCCTGAAAGTAAATCCTGCATTTATTTTGATATCTAGGACAGACGTTTATTTCAGCCTCTTGGACATAACAGGTAATTAGGTGTTCATCTATAGTCAGAAACGTTTGTCCAAGGTTTTTTTTTTTTGATAATAGGCTGCACAACCACATATTTGAACACAGCTGATACAAGGCCTACATACAAAAATAATTTATTTAACAGTATGCACAAGCCCCAATGATGTGAAGAGTTTCCTTGGTAAGATGAGAAGAGAAGGATATCTTGTTGGGAATTAGAAGGCCTAAAATAATAGAATACTTCCTTAAAAGAGAGACAGGTCATGAGTTCAACATTTTACAGGTAATGACTGATCTGAAACAGGCTGTACATGCAGCTGCCTTAAAGCAGAGATTTTTCTTTCTACTAAACATTTTTTTTTAATTATCACAATGCACAACAGAACCTTCCATGGGAACAGCGTCAAGGGAATTAGCAGAGAAAAAAACATTAGGAACTTGAAGTTTTTGACATCCACTTGATATCATCTTTAACCACAAAGTAGATTTTGTAGCTTTCACTTGTGAAACTCTGACTAAAAGTCACCTAGGATTCCTTAAGACACCTGCAGTTGTTCATTTGTCCACTTTCTCTCAGACTAAAGATCCTCGCGTCTAAGAGCACAGGGGTCTTCACTCAGCCAAGGCTGATGTGAATGCTTTGGTGTGTTTAGTCCCAGTTGGGGCAACGGAATCAAGGATGCCAGATGTTTTGTTGAATTAAAAAGCTTAAATAGTTCTTCAACATACAGGTCAGCACAAAATTTGGTCTCAAATGCAGAGCTAGTGAAAGTGAAGAAAAGGAGACCAGCAGTGAAGAGGTTATCACGCATACATGACACGTCTCTCTCTGTTTAACCCTCGTAGTTGATATTTCAACATTAAACATGTTAAGGAAATGTTCCAAAATTCCACAATCTCTGATTTCAATGATACAGATGTCCACACCATAGGCCAGTGTCAGATCAAAAATATGCCCTAGGGGTTTTGTTCCAAAAGTTGGATTTCATAGCTGAGTGAAAATCAGGGAATGTTTCCGACAGCAATAATCTGATTTAAATATTAAAGCTACCTCACCACTGGGGTTGTAACAAGGTCTTGTACTACTAGAACTTGATATTGATCTTGGTGTCTGACTTCATTGATTCAAAATACATGTAGGGTGAATTATTGATTCATGTCTTGTTAAGATAATGGGTGTGCATGGTATATCTTTATATATATATTTACATAACTCAAGGAACGCTTGTGGTTAGTCTTTTGTATTCATTCTTGTAGCTATTACATAACTGAAAAGATAGGAACTGATCCACCTCTACAGTAAAAAGGCAAGCTTGTCCACATTCTAGTGATGCTATGTGCATATTGAAATCTGGCTGACAGGCTGGTACTAGGGAACCTTCTTTGTTATATGTCCAAGATGATGCAGGGCTAAAAGACCAGCAGAAAGATACCTGACAAATGCACAAAATTATATGGAACTACATTCTCTCAAGTGGGCAGGGTTTAATTGATGTATTTAAGTGTATATGTACTGAAATAAGCTTGGCAGTAATATTTAATGTGCTGTTGGGACATTTTTTCTCCTGACTCAAACACCAGAAAAAAATCGATTTGGTATATGAATATTTGGAAGATTTGTGCTAGAATGAATTTTTCAAGTATTTTCCAAATAGAGTAATAATCTTCATCAGAATGTCTTTTCATTTACATCTCACACTGGATCCAGTGTAATGTGAATGCTGAATGAAGGAAAAGTTTCCTTCAATTAAATGAACAAAAAACACTAGTAATCATTTTTGCATCAGAAAAATTAACTGGAAAGATAAAGCAGATCCTTGGGCATCTTGTATTGTTGGTTAAATCTTCTGTTAAAAACCTTGAGATAACGTTTGACTAAGGTTGAAAATCATGTCAAATCTCTGGGTCAATCCTGTTTCTACCATTTGCGAAATATTGGCAAACTTAGCACTATTGTTTCTCATCCTGAGATGGAAATGTTAATTCATGCTTTAGTTTTGTCTAGTTTGGATTATTGCAATGCGCTCTACACATGTCTCACAAAAACCTCCCTAGACCAGTTGTAGTCTGTACAGAATGCTGCTGCTAAGCTCCTGACTAGATCCTCTAAATTTTGTCATTCACTGACTCCCAGTTCATTATCGAGTGCATTTCAAGATCGTAGTATTGACTTGGAGAGCTCTGCATGGACAGGAACCAGTGTATATCTCTGATCTAATTCATCCCTACACCCCTACTAGGGCCCTGGAGTCCTGTGTTTAGTACCTGCTGATTGTCCCTCATGCAAAGTTAAAACCTAAAAGACACCGAGCGTTTCCTTTTGTGGCTGATGAGCAGACTCAGTGGTTTCCTTTAAAGGCCAGCTAAAAACTATTTTTTCAAATCTGCTTTTGTTTTATTTTATCTTATGTATTTAGTTTTTGTTGAAGCACTTTGCGATTTTTATTTTGAGAGGTCCTATATAAATAAAGTTTTACTTACTTATTTACTTACACTGGACTAAGGAACTGCCACAGGTCTCAATAAAAGTGGGATAGTTGAGGGAGCCTTTGACACAGAAAGCTTCCTTCTGATTCAATAAATGAATAAGAGTCGTACTTTCTTGTTACTCCTCACTTTGTTTGGTATTTACTCTAAGTTGAAACTGGCTTCTAACAACAGTCAGGCATGTATTTGTTAAGCTTTAAGCTCCGCCAACGCAGAATGAATGTGGTGTGATACTGTGACATACACTCAGTGTATGTGTTCAAACTGTTAACTTTGTCTTTTTGAGTTTTTCCCCAAAGAGAACTTTAATAGGCTCCAGTTTTAACCAGACACAATCAATATTTTCTTACTGCTAATGAGCCTTTTTTATTCTATTAAATATAACCAGTTATTTTAATAGTGATGTCAACATAATTACTGTTTAATAATGCTCTTATACTAATGGCAGCATGAAAAACAAACACTGTTTGTGGGTAGTTTTGACTCAGATGTTTAGCTTAGATTTCCTGGCAGTTGTTAAACCCTTTTTGAGCAGCAGAAAAAGCCTCACACTCACACACTTTTTCTATTCATTATCCAACCGCAAATGGAACAGCATTCCCTCTGGTTCAAATTCTCCATCCAATGTTCGCATTGTAAATGGTACACTCACTCTTACCACCTCCCACTCTCTCGCTTCCACACAAATGCAGAAACACTCACACAGGAACACAATTTCAATGGCCCACAGCAGTTGCGGTGCTCCCCCAGTGTGGACAGCTCCATCCATTGTGAGTGAATAATGTCCAAGGTCAGCGTGTATGCGGAGGGTGATCATAAAAACCATACCGCCCCTAACCACAGGCGAATAGCTGAATTAGACAGATGCTGTTTGAGATAGGGAGAGAGAGGGAAGACAACACAGGAAGAGTGTGTAGCAGGCTATGGGAGAAACGGAGGAGGAATGGAAACAGATGGAGAGGTTCTGGAAGCAATAGAAGACAGGGGATGGAGAAAAAGCAGGCAAAGAAAGGAAAATATTAGGACACCTCATATCAAAAATGGCCAATTCTATCCTGGTTTAAGTTTTGCTGTGTAATTCCATATTGTGGGAGTTTATTTGTGTCACAGGCCATATCTGGGTGA